TTTTGATCTTCATTCGTGATTATAACTTCTTTATACATATACATGTTTTCTTTTTGAACATTTCGTTCTCTCTCAGGTCATCAGGACGAAATGCGGGGCTACAAGGCGGCTAAGGTATCGAAGGAAAAAAAGAGAGAAGTTCCAGATCGGATGGAGAGCCGTTCGAGGAGGTAGAGGAAGAGGTTCCGTTAAAGAGGAACCGATCTGTGCCCCCGGGATCACTGAGAATTTCGGAGGTAGTGCCTTTGCCGAGCTCGACCCTGCCATCTCCCTCGTTGCCATCACCGGTTGCTCCTTTTGCTGTGGGGACCAGTTCTGCGAACTTGAAGGATCAGTACCCAGATCTACAAAGGCCAGGCTAGGAAAGTCTGGTGGGACACAGACCGGAGATATTTCTGGACTATCTCCGAGCTCCTTCTCCTCCCAAGGGTATGACTACCGCGCTCACTTCGCCTTTGAGGGAGTCGGCCAATTTACTTACCTAGAGCTGGGGTGAGAGGGAGCAGGGCTATCTGAATAAGATGCCCATTGCGAGGCTCTAGTCACTGCTTAGCTCCATGGCCACCGATCTGTTTTGTACATGATGGCAGTGACGGATAAGGTATACCTCATACTTGTTTGTTGTTTTTTTTTTGTTTTTTTTTGTTTTTTGAATGCCTTAATGACTTGCTCGATTTTTTATTTCTAAAAACAGGTGAAGTCCGAGCTGGACAAACTCATCGAGGCCAAAGATCAGGCCTTCAATCTTTATAATAGCATGGAGGCTGAAAAGCCCCAATTTGCTTTACGAGAGAAGGAATACGAGGAGAAGCTGAACCAGATGGGAATTGAGCTGAACTCCAGGCTTGATGTCGAGGAACGACTGATGGAGGAGATCAAGGTGTTGAGGGCCTCGGAGGAAGAGGCCAGGGCTCGGGCAGAAGAGGAGCGTGGCAAACTTATGGAGGCCATCCAGAAGGTTCAAGAGGCCAATGAAAGGGCAAAGCAGGCCACAAAAGGGCTGAAGAGGCTGAGGCCAAGATCGACAGGGCGGTAGAGGCCTGGAAGGAGTCCTCCGAGTTTGATGTGGTGGCTCAGGATGTGTACATTGTGGGCCTTGAAGAGTTGATAGGGAACATCAGGAAGGAGAGGCCCGATCTTGATGTGGCCTTTCTAGATGAGGGGCGGAAGGAGGATTTACGGAAATTGTCGAAGTCTGCTGGAGTCTGGGTGTTACCGGAAACTCAAGATGTTGGAGATACCACCCCTCCCCCCTAAGACCCTTAGGTGTTTTGTGATGTTTTAATTTGAAATGGATAATTTGACTGATTTATGATG